CCAGAGCAGTGAATAGCTAGCCAAACCCTGAATTGGGTGCAGTCACTTTCTACTGCTCTGAAATTTGAGAAGACACTAAATATTTGCACTCTGCCAACTCTTCTCCGGGGTTGAAATCTGGCCTCACTGGACCCATCATCTGGCATAGACGTTTTAGGATTTTCATGTGTTAAGATTGAGCTATTATAGAAAAGAGGGCCCCTGAAGTGAGTGGGCAGCCACACAGAGCTATAAAAGAAGTGTAAGTGGGTGTGAAGAAGTTGGGTGGGGAAAGCAAAAGGCAAAGAAAGTAGGTTTCAGAAGGTTTAAGTGGGAGTGTGATCTTCCACTCTCTTCTTCCTTTGTTTTCCTTGCCAGAGAATGCATGTCAAGGAAGCCCTGTGTGGAGGATTTGGTACTTTGATTTTTCTTCTCTCATGTTTAATGTCTCTCTTGAAATCCCTTGTTTTTTACTATCCAAAGCTCATCATAGGCCAGTAGTTGGCACATGGCTTTAGTCCCAGCACTTGGGAGGCAAAGGCAAAAGGATCTCTATGAGTTCAAAGTCAAGCCCAGTCTACATAGCAACTTCCAAGCCAGCCAGGGCTACATAGTGAGACTCTGTCTCAAAAACAAGAAACAAAACCTAGTTCATAATAACAGCCATGATAATTCCACATCATTTGGTGAAATTTTGGGCATGTATTAAGTAAACAAGAATATATAGTGAGAGCATGAGTATGAAGGAGCTGTGTTTTCAGGAAAAGGTAACAAGTCTAATGCAGAGGGACAATGACAAACAGGAAAGATCACACTGTAATCAGTTGAAAAGAATAACATGCTTATACAAAGTCTTAAATAGCCAAGTAGTATCTAAAAAAGACTGGGAAATCCGTGCCACAGTGAAGTGACTATGTTTCATGATTTAACAAGACTGAGTGTGTGCTCATGAAGGTCTTTGAGAGCCCAAGCCAAAGTGTCACAGTCTCCTTTAAGCAAACAGGCCACTGAACTAGCATAAGTTCAACCAGGGACTGTACAGGCTGACTTGGGGAGGGGGCTGGTCAGACCTATATGTTCACTGTCATTGGAAAGTGATTCTTCCATAGTCCACATGTACAAGACAACATGGAACAAAGCATCTATATAGATGAGCTAAGTGTCTGCAAAGTAAAGAAAATTGAAAGCAAAACAATTAGCAGAACATGAGATAGGTTCATGGCAAGGGTGTTTGCCAAAGGATGCATATCCTAGAACACAAGATCCAACCATCTTATATACATTTCTATTGCTGTGAATCCTGGAAAACAAATCCAGAGCTCAGATCTTGTCAAAAAATAACTCAACAGGCAGCAGATCCAGAAAGATGATTAGAAATGGGGTAAATCTCATCACAAGGTGTTCCATCTTGTCCAAGGGTCCCACACCTTAAAAAAAAATGTGTGTGTGTTTCCTGTTGCGTATATCTCACCATGAGAAATCACTTACATGCAAAAAGCTAAAGATCAAATGGGAGAATGGAAACAAGGTCCATGTTTGTTCAAATATTTGCAAACTACCAGGGGAAACATGCAAACTGAGGACAGGGGAAATAAAGATGGAGCATGAAGAACCTGTCACCCCTGGCTTCTTGTGAGTAGATTACTTGCCCATCTTTATTTTGTTCATTGTTGAATATCCAGCACCAAACAGTACCTGGTAAATAGTAGATTCTCAAAAATCTATATTAAATAGGAAAACACTCATGAATTACTGTCCACATAATTGACAAGTAAAGAGCCATTTGCAATACAGTGTTTTCAACATGTAGTTACGCAGCAATGACCACAAGTTAAGTCATCACTATACAGTAACAGACTGTGGCATGAGAAACATGGCCGGTGGTGTGGGGAAGCACTGTGAAAGCTCATCCTAATGCTAAGAGGCAGTTTCCTGTAACTCCCAGGCTGAATGATAAAATTTGATGAGCAAAGGCATGAGGTTGAGCCATCTCTGGTTTCAGAGAACAGCATGTGAATGGGTTCCTTAAGCAGAAGTGTGAATAAGGGAACTGCCCTTACAACATCTCTGCTGGATACAGTGTGATAAGCAAAAACCAGACACTCCGTCTGAAGAGATTTAACAGTAGAATCACAAACAGAATTGGATCTATGGGACTTGGGAACCTCTCTGAAGGCCTTAGCACAGGCCTGATATTATCAGAGTTGCACTTCAGCCATGTAACTCCAGCTTGAGGTAGGGGAAACAAGCCATAGAGAAGGGTGGGGCAATGGTCCATGTAAGGGTTATAGTGGCTGTGGCTTTGGTGAAGGGAAATAGCAATAAATGATGACAGATTGAGAAGATTCTGGGAAATCAAAGCCCAAAGACTGATGAGTGTGGGGGACTCTAGAAAGCTGACAAGTACCTGGCTCTGGAGTACACTTGAAAGAGAGGACCACTGAGCAAAATGGGGAGCATGGACACAATAAGTTTGATTCACAATAGATGAAGAAGGAAAACAGTTCCCACCAGTAAACATGTTATGATGACCCTGGAATAAAAATTACTACCCAATTTATTACTTCCTCCAGAGCTTACAACCCCTGACAAAAAGGAACGGATGCTGGTCCATTCACTCAACAATCATGTACTGACCTCCCACATTATACTGTGTACTAACACTAAGAAAAGAGAAATGAACCAAATTCATTATTCCTGGGATGTGACCCATTGAAGAAAGGCATACCTAAACACAGTGAATATGAGTCAGAAAATGGCAGAAAAGTGGGAGCAGGGATTAGAAGTGAAAGATACAATTTTCAGTGTGGTGGATAAAGGAAGTGTTAGTGGGAAAGGTAACATTCAAACAAAAACTTGAGAGGAAAGACAATATATTTCCAAGAATTCCCTTCCAGTCAGGGAGTAGGGCAAGCATAAATTCCTGTGCTGGGAGCTTGGTGGGTTTTTAATTAATGAAGTAGCCAATATTCCTTGAATGCAATTAGTTGCAAAACAACCTGAGTTGAAAGCAGAGCTCTTTTTGAGATGGTTGAGTGTCACAGGTGAGAACTTTGGCCTTTCATCTGAGAAACAAAAGACCACTGAAGACTTGTTATGGGGAGAAACTAAGGGGGAGAACTTACATAAGCTCCCACACAAGTCTTTTTTGTTGTTGTTTCCTGTCCATCTCTTTGTTAGAAATGTATTTCCAATCCAATCATGTTCTTACAAACATTTAGCATTTTTTTTTAATAGTCTGAGTCTTCTGAGCACAAATCTTTACCATGTTTATTTGGAAATGCCTTTATTTCACTGTAAGCATTGAAAGATATGCCCAGCAATGTTCTAGGGCTTTCATTTCATTATTTCAAGATGTTACTCCACTGTCTTCTAGTCTGAACTGTTTCTGATGCAAAATAGCTTGCTGTTCTTTTTTTAGTAAGTGGATTATTATTTTGATTGCTTTTGAAGTTTAAAGCATTTTTATTACTTCCTTTAGTTTGGAGCTGTATGACTTATATGCTGAGGAGTAACTACATTTTTATGTTTGGTGAACTCTGAGCACTTAGGTCAATGTTCTTCATCAAACTTGGGGGAGGGGGAGTCTGTCGCTTATGTTTCAAACGCCTCCACTGCCTCCCTCCTGCTCCTGCCCTGAACATAGTAGCTGTGCAGCAGCTCTCAATTCACTGCTTTCAAACAATGTCTTCATTCTCTGCTTCTGTGTGTGCACTTCTGTTGTCCTGTTTAGTCCCTCAGATTCACTGCATCTTCTACTGTTAAGTTTGTTATTGATCGTTCTCTTTATATTTTTCCTTCTGATGTTTTTGGTGTATGTATGTGTGTGTATGTGTGTGTGTGTTCAGATCAAAGGACAGCTTGTGGGAGTTGGTTCTCTTCTTCAAGTTGAACTCAGACTGTCAGGCTTGGAAGCAAGTGCCTTTACCCACTGATTCATCTCTTGGGCCCCAACTTCTGTAATTATAAATAGAATGTCCACTATTCCAGGATTGCTGTTTCTTCCTTCACCACTACATTTCTTCATCTATTATGTCCATTTCTTTGTACTACCAAAGATGCGGAGCAGAAGTGTGACATATTAACATGGGAAGCCTAGCTTTTGCCCTAATCATTAATGGTAAAAGAACTGAGAGACCAGTTAGGAGACTATTGAAATAATTCGTGTAAGACATGTATAACTAAGACCAAAACAGCAATCAGAAAAAGAAACAAGTGCCAATGCCAGGGAGGCACCTCATAGTGTGAATTGGACATGATGACAGACACCTAATCAATACTGTGGCAACAATTCCTTAAAAGGAAGTTTTGACACGGATCACAAGCAGGCTATATCTAGAGGCTTAAAAAGTTGACATACAAAAGGAGTTTGGAACTAAAACAGACTTTATACTCTTGTACCATTGGCACAGTAAAGATCTTTGGAGGGATCACCCAGATTAACTTCCTGTTGCCATTGAGGGGCTTATCCAAAGCCTTATGACAAATGTCCATGCCAGGAATTAAACCTACATGCCTATACACTTCCTTACCATGTTCCAGTGGGACAGGGGAGTTGGGATAACTTAGAGGCAATACGCTCTGGAGGAGAATACAGAGGAATGAAGTGAGCACTGGCTCTCACTTACTGCATACCTACCACCATAGAGTCACCTTGCATATAGTTAACACTTTGTTTCTGAAGAAAAAAAAAAGGGCACTACCACCATTCCTGCTTTCCACACAGTGAGAGTAGGGCTCTAGGAGGCTAAAAAAAAACAACCAAGAACATGTCCATAGAAATGGGGTAGACCACAGAGCTATCTGAAACCTGATGAGCAGGGGTCTGCTTCTGCAGGAGCTAGGATTCTGCTGCAACAGGTCCTAGCTAGAGTACAGACACAGATGAAGGACAAGCACTTTTCAGCTGTGCTCTTATGTTCATCTAGGAAACAGCCTTGCTTGGTGAACGGGACACAAATTCAACACCAGTGATTCCACTGCAAACAAAGCTGGCAGAGTGAAATCTTCAATTCCTCCCTATGGGTAAGGAAATTTTGTATAGAACCCAAAGAAAATATCCTGAAAAGAGGGCTTCTAGGTGGGGAGATGGCTCAGTCAGTAACGTATTGCCATGCAAGCATAAAGACCTGAGTCTGGACCCCAGCACCCACATAAAAAGTGGAACATGGAACAGAGTGTCTCTAACCCTAACGCTGGGGATGCAAAGACAGAAAGATTCCTGGGAGTTGCTAGGTAGCCAATCTGTCCAACTTGGCAAGTTTCAGGTCCATTGAAAGATCCTATCTAAAAAAAAAAAACTGAGGTGGGGAGTTGTTGACATAGATACCTGATGTTGCCCTCTAGTCTCCACATATACACATGAACACATGTACACACACACACACACACACACACACACACACACACACACACACACACACACACTGCAGCCATGGACTTCCTGACTACAGGGAGTCACAGACTATTTCTAACAAATACATGAAATTCAGATCCAAGGATCCATTGCCCCCATTCTTTTACCTCCTGCAGCAGCCTATCAAAACCTGGCCTCGAAGATATTCTGTTCTTGCTGCCGGAACTGTAAGGAAGCTGTCATTGAGAGCGTCAAGTCTCCCAGTCAAACCCAAGGGAACCAGCAACCAACCTACAGTAGGTATCAGACAAGAACACCCTGCCTGGCCTCCCTAAACCTCACACTGTTTATCATCTTCCTCCTGAAATGACCCTGGATTTTCTTTATCGTTATTTTACTTTTTATTTTTGAGATTATAATATAATTACATCGTGTTCACCTTCTCTTTTGTTGCTCCAAACCCTTCTTGCTTTCTTTCATATTCATGACCACTCTTTTCATTAACTGATACATGCATTAAGTATACACATATATATTCCTAAATACATAAGTACAACCTGCTCAGTCTGTATAATGTCATTTGCATGTTTTCAGGGCTGACTGTTTGGTGTTAAATAAACAATTGGTATGGTCTCTTCCCCCAAGGAAGACTATTTCCCCATCTCTCCACATTCCTCAGTTGTCTGCTTTGTATAGGACTGAGTCTCTAGGCTTTCCACTTGGATATTCCTATCAGTCTCTTCCTTGTTCTGCTCATGTTTGGGCAGTCACGTTGGAAACCTCACGGATGTAGCTTCTGACGTTATTAGAAGACACAATTGCACAGCCAACTCCCTGATCCTCTGGCTCTTAAAATCTTTCCACCCTCTCCTCCACAATGTTTCCTGGGCTTTAGATTGGGGAGTGATTTTGTGGATATATCCTTCATCTTTTGATTGAAATTAATTCCAAGTTAAAATGAGATGGCAGATAGGTGGCTAAGCTCAAACTTTCTAACTAGTATGGCCTGAGGTCTTGCAGCCCAGACATCACCAGAGAGCTTCTTGGCATGCATTTTGTGGGCTGAGGATAAAACTCAGTTGGTAAGAGGGCTTGCTTAATTAATATGCCTTAAGCCTTAGGTCCAATCCTAGCCGCACATTTAAAACAAACAGGGTGTGGTGTCATACATCTGTACAAACAAGACCTTGGGAGGTAGAGCCAGGAAGATGAGAGTTTCAAGGTCATCCTCTACTACTTGATGTGCTGGAGGTCAGCTCAGGATATATGAGGTGCATCTCCAGGCCCTATTACTGACCTATTGAGTCAGAAACTGTGTTTTAGTGTGGTCTCCAGGTAAATGTGGATGTACTTTGTAATTTGAGGAACAAGGCTAAAGACTATAAGACAATAGTTAAGCCCCCTTTTTCGAATCTGGCATGCCCCTTTGAGTTCCAATTCTGCCACAGAGGTTGAACATGTCATTTAATCCATCTATGCCTCCACTAGCCTCAGTTAGTCTATTCTATAAAATGGAAATATTCATAATACACTTGGGGGATCATGAGTGTGTGAAATAAATCAATGAGCCTGAGTGCCTAGCACAAAACAGGTGGAGAAGAAACGGAGATGAGTGGGTTCAGTAAGACTCAGACAAGGCCTTCTGTTAAGAAGACTTGCAGTTATGATGGTCAAAGTCCAGGCCACATCCAAATCCCTTCTCATTTTCATCATCAGAAATATGAGACCTGCTTGGTATCAAAGAATGAGACAAACAGAGAAGGTGTCTCAGCCTCCAGTTTGTATCACAGCCTTCTTGATGGCTCAGGACAGAAAAAACAGAGGTCAATACCAACAGTTTCAGAGAGAGAAGAAAGGAGCCTGATATTATTATCAAGATTGGGCAAAGCTAAGACTCACAGGGGCAGAGTGCTGGTGAAAGTCTGTCACCATCCCACTGACAGATGGGACTGGCCAAAGGGCAAGAAGAAATCCTCATGGCAGGACACACAGAAACTTGGGAGGACATACAGAAAACCATGAGAGCTTTCAAGGGCTTCTGAAATTAGTTTCACAGTAGAAGTGAGGCACGAAACCTTACAAATAAACTCCCTTTTCCCAGATGATAATGGTGAGGTGTAATCTTGGATTCACCAGCATGTGTGTAGTGCTGTTCAGCTCTAGGTAGATCCCCCACCATGCCACAATGCACTTGTGACAAGCATTTCTCAATCTGCACAGTAGCTCTATTATCCAAAACAAACACGCCATGCTGCAATATGAGTAGAGGTGGTTTGCTCGAATTACACATCTAGTGAAAAAGCTGTCACACCTGCTTCAGGAGCTTAGTCTATCTCTGAAGTTCTTTGTCACCACTCTAGAAGTACATAAAAGCTTAAATACAATCCATGCCTGCCTTTGCAGTAGTAAAATTAAAAAAAAGTCTAAACACACAATAGTCCACTAATTAAATAAATCTTGAATTATCCATAAAATAGAATACCATATATCTGCTATTTTTTTAATGGGAAAAATGTTTATACTGTATATGAAGAAAATGAACCACATACATAGGACACACAATCTGATGAACTATGTTAAAATATGCTCAGGGAAAGATAATATCTGGGAGGAGATGAGTTGGATCATTTTTCCTTGTTGTAATGGATGTGCATTGCATTTAAAAATAGAAAGAAGTCGATATTTTTTAAATCAGCACCTGCTTAAAGGAGGAATGGATTCAGATTTTCCCATCCCATAAGGTCTATTGTTTGCCTACTTCTGTTGCTGCTTCTGTTGGTTCAATGCCCTCACTTCTGTGATTAGCCAAGCCTTTCCACATGACCCCCATGGAATTCTCGTTGTCAGGTTCGCAGTCTCAGAAGAATGAGTTCAACAAACAAAATCTCGAGCACACTAATGCACAGTACCCCATTGGTCAAGAAAACAGATACTCTTCCAGCAGCAGTGATTTTGAAGGTGAGTCCCAGAGTGAGGTCTTGACATCTGGGAAGGGAGTTCTGTCCTGATGGCCAGACCCTAAGGGTATGTGAGCTAGCTGTATTCATACTCTAGAGAGTGCTGTAGAAACAACAGTGCCTGAGTCTAACTCTATTTTAATTTCCCAAGTTAGGCATTGTATTGACAGAACGGGTCTGGGAGGACAAGACATTCCACATCCACATACACTCTTCTGGGCACCATAGTGTGATCTTGAACATGCATTTTTTTTTTTTTTGTGACTGCTTAATCTCTACTTTGGAGGCTACACACTGAGTTCCAGTCTGGCAGGTCAACATTGGTTCCAGACTGGTAGATCCACATTGGGTTTGTTTTCTGATGTTCCCCCAAACCCAGCCAGGTAAATGTCAAATGAACAATAATTGAAAATGCCAACAGACTGAGCAAAGCTCATTTAGGATGACATGTCTTTGGGTCAAAGAAGAACAAATGTCCAACCTAGTTCAGTAGCATAAACCATGAAGAAGGAAGGCAGCTGTGTTGAAGGGGATTTATCCTGTGCCCAGATGGCCTCACACAGCTCCCTATTCCCCAGGGTCCTTTGATAAATAAGGAACACTCTTACACCTTCCCACTATAGAACCCACCTGTCAGTCAAGCCTGGGCAGCAAACATGAGTTTGTTGAAGGGTAAAATTCCATACAATAGCCTACCTGTTCTACTTCAATCAAGAATGAGGAGCTGAGGGCCTCACTGGCTCACCCACCCCTCCCTTCCTGATATTCCATGCCCAAGTAGGCTGAGATTCATACTGGGAAAGGGACTTTGCAGCAGCATGCCTTGAAACATCGTGTCTAAGCCAGTATAAGCCCAAGTCTCCTGTGTCCTATGTCATGTGCTTTGCAAGACACTGAACTGCCAGTGACTCCACCATGCAGAACAATACCAAGCCTGCTCCCAGGGAAACTATGAAACCTGGGAACCTATCCCAGATGGATACAGCCACAGCAGTCCATTCAGTCTAGCTCAAAGGTCTTCACCCAACAGCATGCTTTCCTTCTTTCAGAGCTGACTGCATACAACATACAAACAGGATACCCTAAAAAACTTCTAAACCGCTACTGCCAGGAACACTGGGCCTTCCAGCCGTGCCTCATTGGGAGACCCTGAGGGTCCTAGCGGCAGCATCACAGGGGTTCTGAGCTGTGCAGCTGCTGGAGGGTCTCCATGAGAATGAAGAAGGCAGTGGACAGGATTCATGAAGTCTGATTCAGAAACTCCACTGCAGGAGGGAAGAGGTCTGAGCCATACCTGTGCCACCAGCATGAGTCACTCCAGCTCCTAACACAGCCAGGGAGGGGGGCTGCCTGCAATTAAAGTCCTTTGCTGCATCAGAGGACGTGTCCCTCCTGTTTGTCCCTCCCCCATACCTTATAAGTATCTTATCAGTTCTTACATTGTCACTTCTAAATAACCTATATTTAAAAAAAAAAAAACCTTAACTTTGTGAATAGCTTTTAAAATAATTTCAAATTTACCGAAAAGTTGTCTCAATGGAAAATAAGAGAGTAAAAAGGAAACGAAAAACTTTTTCAATTCACCAATGGTTTACACATTTCCCCTGTTCACTGTATCATTTTTATCTTCTTTCTTGACTGATCTGAGAGTGAGCATCCTGCCCCCTTCCCTAAATCCTTCACAGGGCAATTCTTTAGACAAAGGACAGCCTTTAACTCTAGCAGGTACCAGGAAATAAAACATCTCATACTAAGACATTCCAATCCAAATTCCATCAATTATCCCAAAAATGCCTCAGAGTTTTTTTTACCCAGTGTCATGGATTCCATGCAGTCATCATGGTTTTCACACATTTCAAGTGTTCATTTGTCTATTATTTCCATTGGATCAGAGTCAAGCTTCCCATTTGGTGCAGGAATGACCCAGGAGGAGTGTGGTGCCCTCCCTGGTGGGTGTTATCAGGAGGTACAGGGCACACGGGATCCTATATGAGTGAAAATTTAGATTGCTTGTTGAAGGGATTTAGTGGGGAGCTCAGTGACCCAGCATGAAGAAGGCCTGGACTTGATTCCTAATATTACAGACATAAAAACAAAGCCACATGTTTGATTCAGTTCCTGCTTTTCCACTTTATTGGTTTGTAATGTTTTGCCAAGAGATTTATTAGTTTGGTTTTGTTATTTTTGTTCTCTGTGTGATTTCTGGGTTTCATTATAGGCAATCTTCATTACTTTGTTGTATCTGTCTTTTGATTTTCATTACATTCCATTATTTATTGAGATGGGGCAGGCCAATGTGTGCAAGTGGAGATCAGAGTGTGTACAACTTGCAGGAAGCATTTACATCCTTCCATGATGTGAATTCCAGGGATTGAACTCAGGTCATCAGCTTTGGTCACAATTACTTTACCAGCTGAGCCATCTCAATTGAGTCATGTGCTTTTCCTTTGAATTGGGGATTTATTTCATTCTTTTCATTTTTTTGATATGTTTAAAACATGCAGTGAGCAGAATGTCCTTTCACCTGAGGATACCTTTCCTCCATTTCCTGGCGCCTGGGCACACATTACTTCACACTGTAGATTAAACAGATGAGCTTGCTGATATGTAACCTTCAGGTGGAGATAATCCCAGTTATCCAATGGGCCTAGTCCTGCCCATGCAGACAGTCTTCCATCCAGCTCTGAGCTTGTTCCTGACAGCACAGAGGTACTACGGGTAGTAGTAATGGCAGGCAATACAGACATGCCCTACAGGGTGGGAACAGAACTAGAACAAGAGATTCGACAGTGCCTAACCCTCCAAAACCTTCAACCTCTTACTCTGTGCCTCAGTTTCCTAATCTGTAACTTGAGTACAGCTATAGTGACTACCTGGAGCACAAGGTAATACTGAGCCTGAATTCCCTTCCCTTCCCTGCCATATCTTCTTGAGTGCAATGTGCTTTGACCCGCTCAGTCAGTGCGACATGTCTTTGGATCATAGAAAGATGCCCAACCTAGGACAGTGACATGAAAGGCAGCCATGTTGAGTAGTATCCAGGTGGCCTCACACGGGCAACTGAGCAGGTGGGCCAGTGGCAGGGACCCACACCTGCATTTACATTTACACGGTAGGTCAAGCTCAGATGAGCACATCCTAGCTAGACTGCTAATCCAAGGACAGGAGATTCCCCTTCCAGCAACTTAATACATAGTAGACAGTGGGACAAACCACTGCAGAGGTTAGCAGACAGTCTCCGTCCTCCCAGAACTGTGGTCCTGTCCAGAACCCATCACCAACATTCCCAGTTCTCAGCTCTGTGACATCATAGGCTCCTATCCACTTGGCCAGCAGAAGATGGGGGAAGCTTAAAGGTGAGACCTAAGAGTGAGAGGGTAAAATATTTCTGCACTAAAAGATGATAGTGTCCCCACACTCCCAAACACCAATTTACTTCCTACCAGCAACAGTCAATACCCATCCTTGGCTTCCACCCAGTTTCTCCTTCTGCATTCTGGCTCCCCACCTGTACTGGATCACCTCAAAGGGTCCCCCCCAAATCTAGAAGCCTGCTGGCTTAACCTCAGTGACCTTGAGGCATGGGGCCAATGTGTTGTAGGGTCTCTAGAAACCTCAGGTTCATAGCCTATTGAAGACAAAAGTTCTCCTCTTTGGTTCCTACATTAATCTAAGGGGGGCAAAGATAGTACAAACAAATGTCCCCTGTGACACCATATTTTGGTAACATAAGTAGCTTACTGTATGCATGAAGCCATGTTAAGCCTTTAGATCTTCATGCCTCACAATCTTCACATTAAACAAGTTTTACCACACCATTGTACAGAGAGATTAGCTGAAATTCAAGTAGGGAAAAATTGCCCAAGATCATCCAGCAAGATGTTACAGAAATTAAGAACTTCACACACATCCATTTAAGTAAAAAGTATGTGTGCTTGACCAAGATGTCACTCTGTACATCTTCAGGTGAAGCTAGATATTTAAGTCCCCAACCCTCAGCTCTCAGAGCACCAGATGCTCCTGAACACTCTGGAGGGTGAGAAAGTAGACAACAGGGACTTTGGCTTCCCACAACACCACACTAATGGCACTAAGCTAGATGAGCTCTGTGGTAGAGTATTTGCCTAACATGGGCAAGGTGAAGGCTGCTCCCCAGTAATGGAAAAGAATACAAAATTCACTGACATCCAAGCTGTCCCTTTGGGTTGTGACACCTGGAAAAATCACATTTCTGAGACTTAGTTCACTGTGACAAAGTGGGACACCACCCTGAATCATATATACAGATGGGACAAAATAAAAATGAGCCTCAGATGCCAAAGGACCTGCTCTAGATGACCCATGACATCAGCACACCTCACTCCATTAACTCCATTCTCTTCCCCATTAACATGAATGGCAAAGTCCCAAGCGAGGCTGTTTTGACAGTTAGGGACTGAAAACCCATTAGTTGAAGGAGGACTAGGAAGGATTGAGTGTTACTCAACAGAGAAGCTCCAGGCATTCATTCTACCAACATGCAGTGGACACCCACTCTGCCCTGAAAAGTGATGGTGATCCATCCTGTCTCTGAATGCAAAAATGTTGCTCCTGTTCAGGATCCTCAGGATTTCACACAGGACTTGACACCAGTAAATCCTCCATAAATACTTATCCTCAGATAACCCTAGAGGACTGGTCCCAAAGCAGCCTTAGATACCAAAGTACATGGGCACCCAAGGCCCATGAATAGGTCATAGTATTTGCATCTAACCTATACCTACACACACACACACACACACACACACACACACACACACACACACACACACACACACAGGCACAGGCACACACACAGACCCTACCTTTTAAACCATCTCAGGTTACTTATAACACCTAGTGCTGCAGGAACACTTCTTACATTCTGTGGTTTAGAAAATGATAAGTCGTTATGTACTTAGCAGATGCACATTTTTTTCAGAACTTTTTCATCCATGGCTGATTGAATCCATGGATTAGAACCCACAAAGTGTTACATATATATGTTGAACAACTTTTTAAACCCGTCTATTTTAACTGGGCACGTGCCATACATTTATAACCACAGCAGTGGGGTGGACAGAGCAGGAAGATAACAAGTTTGAAACCAGCTTAGACTATATAACCAGAACTCCTCTCTAACTGGGTAATTACTGGTTTGCTTCCTCCTGCTTGTGTTGGGCCAACTTTCTTATACAACCCAGGGCCACCTGTCCAGGGGTGGCACCGAACACACTGGGCTGAGCCCTTCTACATCAACTAGCGATCAAGAAAATGCCCCCTACAGGCCAATCTGATGGGGGCGATTCCTTAATCAGGATTCTGTCTCCCCAAATATGTCAAGTTGATAGCCAAGATTAGCCACCATGGTGGCTACTAGCAGGTTTGTGGGCGGAAATGATATGATCTAACTCATTCAAGGAAGACAAATTAGAAGGAGCAAGAAAGCAAAAGTGTCACAGCCAATGCAATACCCAGATTGTGTGTGGAGGGAAAGGAGGGAGGAGTTTGGAAAGGTAGATGAGAAGCCAGAGTCCAACAATGAACCATAGAGTAAACTTAGGGTGTTGTGATTGACACTCAACAACTATGATGGAAACTTCCAGAATGGGGACTGAGAGATCATGGGCCTGAACCTTTAAGATTCTGGTCACTCTGAGAGGCCACATCCCACTGCTTGAAATCAGCTCTGTCCACCCCAATACTCTCAACCTCCATCCTCTACCCCCAATACTGTGTCTCTGATACAGAGTTAGTAAGTCATGCTCTGCCTAACATTGCATCATTTCTAATCTTGTCCAGGACCTAGCATCTCCATGTGCTTTGTCACTTAGACTATGTTGACCCAAATCACACACAGTGCAGACTCTCCTGCTACCCCCTTAAAGGATATAAAAGTCACCTATTTTCCTTTGTTCGGGGGGATTTTTCTCTGAAGGTTTCTTCTCTGGGCCTCCCGCCTCACATTGTCCATGACAGTTATCCCTCTCTCTTGTGCCATTCCCTCTCAATGAAGCTCCTTTCAAGGTTTTCAAGGCATATCTCTTTCCCCTTTAAGTCCTTATCATGTAGTACCTGATGCAATCTACTGTCCCCTTTCTCAAGTTCTCCCATCTCAAGGCTCAATCATGATCTCAGTTTCAATCATCTCTCCTTATAAAGTCATGAAGGGTATTTTCCTGCAAGTTCCTTTCCCATACCAACCAACCCACAATTCATCCTTTTTCTATAACGAGGCATTGGTTATAGAGAAGAGGGATCTAAAGCAGAACATGGAATAGAGAAAGGAGATTGGAATATGGTAAATATACCACCTTGGGACATCAGAGCCTTGGGAAGACGACTCATTCAACCATCTCTCTTGCCGATGTGGCCCTTAGGCCAGGGACAGGCATGAGCTAGCCCACAGACCCCCCCCCAGC